CTCCTGATTTTAATTTTTTTATGCTCCTCTCCTGATTTTTATTCTCTTAGTGTCCTCTCCTTATTTTAAATTTCTTAGACTCCTCTCCTGATTTTAATTCTCTTAGGTTGCTCTCCAGATTTTAATTTTCTTAGGCTCCTCTCCTGATTTAAATTCTCTTAGGCTCCTCTCCTGATTTTAATTCTCTTAGTCTTGTCTCTTGATTTTTATTCTCCTAGGCTTCTCTTCTGATTTTTATGCTCTTAGGTTCTTCTGATTTTTATTTTTTTTAAGGCTCTTCTCCTGATTTTTGTTTTTTTAGGGTGTTTTCCTGATTTTAATTCTCTTAGGCTCTTCCTCTGATTATAATTCTCTTAGGCTCTTCTTTTGATTTTAATTTTTTTAAGCTTTTCTCCTGATTTTAATTTTTTTAGGCTCTTGTCCTGATTTTCATTTTCACCTAATTAATTTCTTGGGCCAGCACCTAATAACCACCTGATTACACAAGTAAATTTTCAAACCACTTAGCAATTACGAGGCACTTATCCAATTTCCCATAAAAACTACACCAATAAATACGGGTATAAAACAAACAAACAAACAAAAAAAAATCCAAAAAGTAACAAACCGCATAGCAACACTGCCATCTGGTGACATAGAAAAGGAATTGCACATATATTTTACATGAAATACTGCCGACGGAAAAGAGGAACTGCAACTAAAAGAATTCAGAAGTGCGTTACCTGCTGACGAAAAGCAGGAACTGCATGGAAAAAGAATTCATAACAGCGCCACCTGCCGAAGAAAGACTGCAATTCCAACTGAATATTAATAAAACTGCTGCCACCTTGTGGACAATCATAAAATTGCACATAAAAATACTTTTTTATTAATTTTTATTAAAAATATAAAAAAACCACCCAAACAACAGCACAAGCACCCCTGACACAAAAAAAAAACCCACTTAAAAAACACCCATCAACACTACACCTACACCTAACCCTAACCCTTAACCTAGGCCTAACTGTAAGCCAAACCCTAGCCCAAACCCCACACCTACCCCTACAGCAAGGCCTATGCCTAGCCTTATAAGTAACCCAAACCCTAATCCTACCCCTACACCTGGCCCTAACCCTAAACCTAAACCTAGCCTAAACCCTAACCCTATGCGTAACCCTAGGCCAACCCAAACCCCAAATCAACACCTACCCCTAACCATAACCATCACCCCAACCCTAGGCCTGACCCACAACCTTACCCTAACACTACACCTAACCCTAGGCCCAACCTTAAGCCTAACTCTAACCCTAAAACCTGGATTTAGGCCTAGAGAGGATTACAGTCACCATTAGGCTTACAGTTAGATTTAGGGTTAGAGTTTACAGTTAGGTTTAGGGGTAGGTTTAGGTGTAGAATTAGGGTTAGGTGTTACAGTTAGGGTTAGGTTTAGGGGTTAGGATTTACAGTTAGGGTTAGGGGTTAGAGTAAGGGTTTAGGGTTAGGGTTTTGGGTTAGGGTTAGACTCAGATGCACGCAGACACACTCAAGCACATTCAGACGCACCTGCACACGCTCCGACACACTCAGGCACACCTGCAAACACTCAGACAACCTCAGGGACATAAAGACATGCTCAGACACACTGAGGCACATGCAGACACACTCGCGCACACACAGACACATTCTCACACACTCCACAGACACATTCTCACACAGACACACTCAAACACACTCGCACACACAGACGCATTTGAACACACTCTGACACACTCAAACACACTCGGACACACTTAGACCCATAAATACATGCTCAGGCATGCTCAGGTACACACAGAAACACTCACACACACCGAGACACTCTCAGACTCACTGGCACACACGTAGACACACTCATACACGCTCACGCACACTCAGACACAGTCTGGAACACGCAGACACACTGAGACACACCTGCAAACACTGAGAAACAATCAGACCAATAAATACACGCTCAGGCATGCTCAGGCACACAAAGAAACACTCGGACACACTCAGACACACTCACAAAGACCCAGATACACTCAGACACACTCAGGCACACTCAAACACGCTCACACACACTCAGACACAATAAAACAGGCTCAGATACACTCAGACATCTCAGAAAAACTCACAGAAAACTGCAAACTCTTAGACCCATAAATACACACTCAGGCACACTCACATATTCTCAGACACACCTGCAAACACTGAGAAACAATCAGACCCATAAATACATGCTCAGGCACACTCAGGCACACTGAGACACACTCGCACACACTCCCAGACACTCAGACACACTTGAACACACTCAGACACAATTAGACATACTCAGACACTCTTGCCCACACGCAGACAC